AAAGTTAGCCAATCCCCAAAAATGTATACCGCACACTGGCTCCTGTAATCATAAACAGAAAACTCCATAGACCCACTGAATTTTATAAGCAAAAAATAACATCCAGTTATATAATTGATGAAAAAACTTGAGTTTTATTTCAAACGTTTGCGTCATTTTCCTGTAATAGCAATACCTATAAAAGCACTACCGCAGCCAACACCGTGCTTTACAGTGATTAGAGCAGAGAGGCGTTGTGACGTTTGGGACGGCCCCCTGCAGACGGCTGCACCAATCGCCTCCGTCTGACAGGGTCTAAGTGTCACACGGAGCTCCTCTCTCACACTCCGGACCACATCATAACTTTTGAGAGGTGGGAAAACGGCACTGACTTCTCCTTCGTAGCAGAAGCGACAAAGACGCGCACCGGGGGCCCAATGGAGAAATCTAAAAACTTTCGTATTGACGCGCTGTTAGCAGACTATTCCCCCAAGGTGCAGACCTCTCCGCTCGCGCTTGTGACGTCCATGTCCTCCTCCATCCCGTCGTCTGGAAGTGTGTCAGCCCTGGAGCTGACCGGCGCCGATTCTTTACGCACCGAGACGCCGTCTCCACCGAGGATTTCCAGCTGCGGGTTGATTCCGAAACCGGGTTTCCTCAACAGTCCACACAGCATGGTTGGATTACATCCGCAGAGTACCGCAGGGATCCCCGCGCAGGCTCTCTACGGCCATCCCATGTACACCTACTCTGCAGCAGCGCTCGCAGGCCAACACCCTGCCCTGTCCTACTCCTATCCACATGTCTCCCATCACCACCACAGCGATCCCATCAAACTGACAGCCAGCACCTTCCAGCTGGACCACTGGCTCCGGGTCTCCACGGCCGGGATGATGCTGCCCAAAATGTCTGACTTTAATTGTAAGTAGCTGTTTCATAACAGAATGTTCTGGCATTTTTACTACAAATACATCATATAATAATAATAATAATAATAATAATAATAATAATAATAACAATAATAGATGCATCTTTGGTTATGTATGGTGGCAGGCTGATCTAAAAATGTGCCATGGTACCCAAAAAGTCTGCTTTGTTTGTTAGTTTTGCTTATATTATTATATATATATATATAAATTATGTTGGCCTACATGATGCTGCTTCAAGACATATTATGTCACTGTGCTAAAGACTCAGACATAGAAGGCATTACATTCTTATTTAGCTAAACAAATAAGTAGTTTATTATATTTTTATGGCGCACTATTTCCCTCACTTATTATGATCTTCTGAATGAAGAGGCTGTAGAGTGATGGTTTTTCTAAGAGGAACTAAAATGGACAGATAATGGACAGTGGGAAAGTAGCGGAATAGTGTGAAACCCACAGTTGACATGCGATTTGCTCACCAGATACTACCTTTTTTGTCTCTGCTCGTTTTAACAGATTTGTTCAAAATGGAGTGGCAAATAGCTTCTCTATGGAGATATTCATAGGTGGACGACCTTGTTGTTTAAGCAGGGAGCACATAGACAATTATATTTTATTACACCATAACAACAGAGGGCTGTCAATGTTGTGCTATTTTCCCTTTACAATACTAAAATATTGTTATTTTCTAATCAGTCATAAGAAGACTATTCGTTATGCACACAAATCTCTTAATTTAGTAGATGGTATTGATGTTTTTTTTCTGTTGTTGCAGCTCAGGCTCAGTCTAACTTGCTTGGCAAGTGCAGAAGACCAAGAACTGCATTCACAAGTCAGCAGCTGCTGGAGCTGGAACATCAATTCAAACTGAATAAGTACCTGTCACGACCGAAGCGCTTTGAAGTGGCGACGTCCCTCATGCTGACAGAAACTCAGGTAATATTTCTTACAGCGATTACTTTTTTTTTTTTTTTAACAATTTAGTTCCCCTGTTTAAAGAATTCAATGATTTTTAAAAAAGGTACACAAGGTTATTTTTAAAACTGGTTTAGTTTTCAGAAAATAATTGAGAAATTGATGACCTGCATCCTGACTTTGTCCAGAAGTACTTTTCCTATCACTCCAATTGTTTCAATTTGCCATTGGGCAAATGGCAGTTACGTCGTGCCGTTGATATTTTATTTCCATTTTAATTCAAGGGTTAAAAAAAGAATAATGTTTTCACTGTAGGATAATTGAAACATTGCAGCAGAGGTCAATGTCAGGTGGACTGGTGAACTTTACGCAATCTTTACGCATAGTTACGCACAGGTAGAATCCTGTTTAAACCACTTAAAGTAAATTATCTTCATTTCCTCAGGTTAAAATCTGGTTCCAGAACAGACGCATGAAGTGGAAGAGAAGTAAGAAGGCCAAAGAGCAGGCCGCCCAGGAGGCCGAGAAGCAGAAAGGCAACAAGGGCGGCCAGGATAAATCTGACGGACTCGAAAAGTCGGACTATAAGAGCAAGACAGACTCAAAAAATGGCAGAATAAGAGACTTTAGAGACAGTGACGACGACGACGAGGGCGACAATTTCCTGTACAACTCGTCAGACTGCTCTTCAGACGACGAGAGGAATCACACCAGTGATATAAGTCCGCAGCCTTGAAGAAGGACGAAGGTGGCGATCGCCATTTGTAGTGACTCTGGGGGGGATTTTTGCTATAAAAATGCAGTTGCATGTAATCCAACCTCTAATCACCCTTCATGGCATTTTTTTTTCATAAAAATAATAAAATTGAGGTCAAGAATAGATGATCTTGGTGTCATAATTAAGCAATAAAGCAGGAGATTCATACTAGGAGCATCATTCAGCACTCTGAACTGTGACATGTTGCATGGTTTATATTCCAACGCTGTAAACTGGCTCGGGACTTTGCAATCTTTCCCTGCTGCAATAGTTTGTCAGTAATATCATGTAGCCCTCTCACTACAGTAAACAGCCCGCTGGTATTTGTCTAATTTTGTTCTTTGTAGTGTTCCGTAATGTGTCATATCACGCTGATAAAAATAAATAAAAATGTTATGTTTATTTTTCTATACTGTATTTATAAAATGGTCATCCCCGTGCATGCTAAATTATTGTTTAGCGTCTCTCTTGGTGCAAACAATGTGAAATAAAAAAAGTTTTATATAAAAACTCAGTTGGCATTTTTGGCGAAAAAAATAAAAAATAGTCCTTTGATTTACGATTTACTCGCAGTGTTTCAGCGCGGATGCGAACAGAGGCTCGTGTTTTCCTCCGTGCTCTGACAGCTCGGGTCATGGGAATTACTGTTAATAGCGCTGTCGGATCTGTGCAAACGTGCAGTGAGAGCAAACAGCGAGGAGGCAGTCAGACGGAGGAAACATTTCACACCACACAGGCAATGGGCTCGCATTAATAAAACCTTCTAAATGGCTTGTTGAGCGACAACTTGGCTGCTCGGGCACTATTTTCAGGGCTGAGATCATTTAAAACGTATTTAGCATTAACAAGAAATGTTTTAAATGTGTTTTTTTTGATAAAAGCCGATTTGAATTATATTCTACTTTGTTACTAGTCCCATAGCATAGACATAGACTGTTTTTACATTGAATTAAAACACCAGACATTCTTATACCAAAGTACTGTATGTAATTTGCATGGGCTCAAGAAGAAGAAAAAAAAAAAAAAAAAAAAAAGTTGACTTCCTCAAATGCAAACAAAACATCCCATCAGCCTGCTTTTCCGACCTAAACAAGCATGTCTTTATAGGGTGTGTTTTTAACTAATATGTCAATACCTAATTTGATCTTCTTTCAGCCTATATTCTTTTATTTTAACATATTTTGATTACCAATGTGACCGGGCCATAGGGCCGGTTTAATAACTCATCTGTACACTGTTTACACTATGCATTACTTTACAGAATACACAGTCTACACTATGGTCCTATACTTGTTACCAATGTTCCCGCAGTCATCAGCGTTAAACTACAGCAGGGGTTGACTGATTATGTGCCATTTGCAACAGGATTACTGAGCGATCTGTTGGTTATCTTCAGCTGTTTGCTTTAGCTGACTAAATCAAAGTTCAGCTGAGGGTCAAACCCAAACAGAACACACCAGGTAAAGTCGATGGCAACTGGCTGGCTCCCGGCTGCAGACAATGGCCAGTGTATGGACTGCACAGTGAGCCCATTGATCCCACCATCTCCACCTTCTAACTTGACAGATTCTCAAGTTTTTCAACCAGTAGTCTCCATCATTTCTCACACAAAAACATCCCCGCTACTCAAGAACAAAAAGGACACTGCGTCTTAAATGTTCCATGTAATTAAAACATCTCTCCCTTCAACATGAGGCTACAGTATACTTTGTGGACTAAAAGACATTTCCTCTGGTGGCCCATTCATGACCCGAGGCCACACTCCAGCCTCAGATTGATACAGGCCACACCAATGGAGCTAATTAATAGGAGCAAGTATCAAATGTAACAGAATGACTCTGCTATGCTAACCACGCGGGCAGATACTGGTGTCAGCGAGCAAACAGAATAGGCTAGACTTAAGGCCCCTGGGTCATATCAGGGTGTTTAAACACAGAACGGATGACACCGCCGTCGCTCTCTATTCTCACCGCTCTCGTTTGTGTCACACTCGCAGCAAGCCAAGTGGAAATATCAACAGAGAAGGATAACAACATACAAATATTCACTAATCGGTTGCATTTAAGGCTGAGAAAGACTTTATTTATGATGTGCTTTATTTTGTGCAAGAGTAAATAGACTTAGTAAAGCCCAGAAGAATAGCTCCGGGTGTACGGACTCGACAATATTAACTCGTGCTGGGCACTGCCTTCATGAGGGAGATATCAGATAAAGAACAGTAAGGCATAGAAGAAGAAGAAATGAGAGCTGATGTTAGAGAAAATAGTTCCTTTCTCTCTACAAAGGAGTCAAAGCTTTAGGCAAAATGTTGGTGATTATTGAGGCTTTTGAGACTGATGCTTTTAAAATTGCGACACTCTAAATATACGTATAAGCGCCATAATAGATGTAACAAATAAAAATAACCAAGGTATTGCTTTCAAATCCGTAGTTATTTATTGCAGAACAATAAAGCTGAACCAAACCACACACTGTATTAAAATAATACATACACAAAGTCCGATGACTGACGCGTGTCTAAAGGCATCCATATCTTCCAAATTTAAAAATATTCATGGTAACAATTATGTACAAGGCCTCCTCATAGCAAAAACATTCATTTAATTTCAAAAACATATCTATTCTTCTTTGAAGAAAACTGCAGGTTTGGGTTCTTTGTGTCAAGAGACAAAGTCTTCTTCTGTTCTTCTGGTTGCATACATCTGTTGGGCTTCTGGTGTGTGTGGTTGTGTGTGTGTAAGTGTTTTACAGTTTGAGCTTGGCCTCTTTGGCCTCCATGGCTTTGGTGGCGACCTGAGCGCGCTCTGACAACGTCGCTGCTTGCTCAGCTGGTCCCTTCGTCTGGGCATTCTTCAGCAGAAAGTGGCTGATGAAAAGCTTCAAGCCCTCCCGCAGCATTCCTAGCTTGGGAATTCCTGAAATCCTGGCGGATGGGAAACAATAAAGGACATTGATGTCAGATGTTCACATGGTGCGAAGCAGTAAAGAGGAGTCCTTTTACAAGATGCGGGCTAATAGAGGTGAACATTTCATCCAAACCGAAATATCTATTGGATGGATTGCCATGAAAATAAGGACATTCGTTGTTTCCAGAGGATGAATCCATCCGACTCCAGTCATCCCCTGACTTTTCATCAAGCGCCACCATGAGGTCAAATACCGTCCGATACTTTGGTTTATAACCAAACCTGCAAAACTTATGACATTCCTGTCAGTCTCAGTTGTACTTGTTGTGCTTATTTGTAATTACTAATGTGAAAACACTAAACTAAGATGGTGAACATGGTAAACATTATGCTTGCAAAACATCATCATGTTAGCATAGCATTTGCAAGCATGTTAGCATGCTGATGTTATCATTAAGCTCCGATCACGGCTGTGCCTAGAAGTACAGCATTGCAGAGTTGCTAGCCAGGCTGTACACTCTCGTTTCCCTGTTCTTATTTTGCATTCATTAACATATTTAAATCTCCAAACCTGTAAGAAGTAAGTGTATGTACAGGCTCACCTTCCAAACATGCTGGCGAGGTCCTCGGGCTCCATGTCTTTTAGCAGTTTGGTGAGCACCTGGCGCAAGAAGCGCACCGTGGGCTTGTCTAGTTCGCCAAACTCTATTACCTACACAGAGAAGACCCCGGTGATTATTAAATACATCAAATACATAGTATCAAATACATAAATGTGATATAGTAAAAACCTACACACGACAGGTCACTTACTTTGAGTACGGAGAGGGAAAGGCACTTCTTCTGAAGGAAGAGGGTTACCAGCTGAACCAAGTTGTTAAAGGTGCTGCTGGGAAGGTTGGACAGCTCCCTCAGCTTGTCCCATAGGCTGAACTGGAAAGTCATCTTGGAGAATATAGGACATCAAAATGATTTAATAACTGCACTGAATGGTTCCCCAAAAGAGGAGCAGAAAGTATAGTGAACAGAAACCAGCTCTGCATAGGTAATCCTCTCATCCAGATCCAGTTTACATGTGAAAAGCAAACATTCCCACCAGCTCTGGTTCGAGCTCTTTGATGAGGACAATGGTCATCAGTCTCCGATACGGACCCGCGGCCGCAAAGTAGGAAGTGTGGTCTCGCCCCCATTGTTTGTAGTCACAGTTTGAGTCAAATAATATCAGAGGTGAGAGCTGCGAGAGGCTCCCACACTGCAGAGGTGAACTACAGGCCACACGACGCAGGTCACACGTAGTGGAACAGACTGGGTGGTCACACACGTCCAGCCGGTAATTCAAACATAAATGCAACTCTTCCATATTTTCTCATCATGACATGTACAGTAAAATGGCCTCTCCAACTTTAAAACCACCATCCTATACCGCAGTAAAAGTTCCATTAGATCTTTAGTGTCCACATGATTTATATTCAAATAAGGACAACATACAGAGTGTACTATGGCTTTAAATGGTACCGTTATCATTTACTGAAAATACAACATTCATACAAGCAATTAGAGATTTCCTCTCTCAAGCCGATAATTGTAATTACTTGATCTGGGCATCGGCATTTGTACAACGGGAAAAGATATTAATATTAGTCCATTTTAAGACATAAATGTCAGACATTCCCTACTTGCAGCTACTAACATTTTGAGGATTGGTTGCTTTTCCGTGTCTCATGTGATAGTAAATAAATAATCTTTCGGGTTCGGGGTGCTGGTTGGACAAAACAAGCAATTTAATATCATCAGCCTGGGCTTTAGGAAATTGTACTTGGCATATTCCATGATTTTTATAATCTTTTATAAACTAAACTATTGATTTACCCCACAAATGAATTAGCATATTAACACACAATTAAAATAACATTAATTTGCATAGCTACAGCTTTTATATAGATCAAAATCATTTTGGTACGGATATTGCAAATTAGTAAGGAAGAAGTCTTGAGATGGTACTTTTTTTTCATATTTACTGCTTTTGAGATAACAATTTTATGCGTTTACAGATCAAACAATTGTCTCGGAGAATGACTGTTAATTTTATGTTCTAATCATTGTGGTGGTAGCCAATTAAGCTTTTGTGGAACCAGGGCAAGTTTATTGATGATGTTGTGGTTGATAAGAGATGGAGATCTAGAACTGGGTCTGTATATTTGCAAGGTTCTGTGTAAGTGGGAGTAGTTTTATTTTCTATTCTCAGTCATCGAGGTGAGGGTTTTACCAGCTGATTACCTGAAAGCGACGATCGTGGGAGCAGAATTTCTCTCCCAGTACGGCGTAATAGGCATTGAAGGCTTTCTCCTGCAGACAGCAGTCCATCAGAACATGAACAATCTCCCTCTCCTGCTTGTCCTTCAGGCCCATCCTTCACACAGAGCAAACAAAAGGCTTCATAACATTACGGTAAAAACAAGCATGTCATATTTCCTTCTTTGGTCAACCAACGTAACATGGAGACACACTGTAGAGGTGAGCGATAACAAACCTGAGCAGCTTCTCGAAAGCATCCAGGTAATCTTCGCTGGTCATTATCACACAGAAGATGTTTCTTCTGACCTCAGTGTTCATCCTCTGTTTCCTAGCCAGATCCAACACTTTGGCACTAAACTGAAATTAATCGAAACCAACAGTAAAGTGAAAAATACACTTAAAGTGCTGACATTAATGAATAATACCGACTAAACCTGGGGTATCATTTTTAATTCGTTTTTGTATCAACACTATGTTTTGCTACAAGCTCCTCAAATGTTACATTTTGTCCAAACACAAGCAACAGTACAAGAACTGAAAAAAGTCTAAATAAAACAGTTTAAATTTGGCAAGGAATAAGTAAACACGATTACAAATGTGAACTAGGAAACTAGACTGTTTTTGATACTTTTTTTTTTTTTTAAGTATTGAGGTTTGATACCCAGACCTAATACTCACCAATTTGTGTTGACTAATAAAGGAAAGTATAAAACACTACCGACGATGCACCAACAAATACAATTCAGAGTGGCGAAAAAATGTACCTTTAATAAAAAAAATGTAAAAGTTCATGATATGATAAATTAGTTAAATCAGAAATTGAATAAATAAAATAAAATACTACAGATACTATAAATGCTGCAACACAGACAAAATGGGAGGCGATACGTTCAGTATATGCTTTCCCTAACATGGCATGGCTGATACCTTTTACATCAAAAGATGCCTAGCACCCATGCAGACCTGCACCGGGATTACTCTCTACCGTGTTCTAGTACTCTACCTGTCCTCCAGCAGTACTCTGTTTTGAGGTCGTGTTCCCTTGCTCTCCGATCATGGGCGCTCCGCTCCACGACGAGCCAACGATCCACCAGCGGCCCACTTGCTCTGCTGCCAGGAGATTGTCCAGAGACACCCTCAGTTTCATGTCACTGCCTCCTGCACGCCGCTGGATCTGAGTAACACATTTGCCAGGGATCAGCCATTAGCGCACTTAGGAGGCAAACGCCAGTCATACAACATCAAAGAAGGACAACAAATTAGCAATCGTGAAGTAAACAACTGTTAAAACTGCTTCAATGAATGGTCATGATGATGATGAAAGCATCCCTAACACTCTGGACTTTGGGCCTGTAGAGGTGGTACTCTAGGGCCACCTGGTGGAACAAGTGGAGGCTACTATGAAAACAACGATCTTGTAAGAACACAATAACCGTGTTCAGTATGAGGAATAATACCACTGCCTATAAACTACATATTCAAAATCTAAATTTGTTTTCATTAATGTAGTGAAATAAGGATATTTCAAACAAAATAAGTCATGATGTGAAAATCACCCACCAGAGTCCTCTGCAGCTTCCTCAGTTTCTCCAAAGGCTCAGGATCGTAGCCTGGGATCTTCCGCATATCGTTGTTCTTCAGAGCCAGCATGGTTTCCAGCATGAAACGCACCTGATACATAATTCAGAGGTCAAATACACAATGCTGTAGCCATCACCAGAACATTTGATGTAATTAACGACTCCTGGTGAATGAAAGGTAATTCAAGTAAGAGGTCATTCTGTTTGCCCTACCCTGGTCTGATCCTGGAACTTCGACCCTGTGTCGCGGGCCTTGCGTTGGCCCTCACAGATGAGCTCCTTGAGAGCCAGAGCGTCGTCCTTCCTCAGGGCGAAGCCGACATTCCTCAGCACTAACAAAACTAGCTCAATGTCCTTCTCTGTAAAGGCGCCAACAAAAAGTTTCAGGATGTCAAAGATGAGGACAGAATGCACCACCTGGAAGTTATAGAGGTGAACGACAATGGCGACCAGGTTGTCGCATTCTTTGCTTTCCGATGGGTTCTTGTACACCTCGTCAAACTTTCGCACGACCGTCTCCAGAAATTGGGCTCCCACCTGGAAAATCATCAAAAGGAAATATTACAAACTTGTGATTCATGCTGTGATTGGATTTATGTACGTTTATCATATGTCATCATCCACAGATATTGACATATGATAAACAATGGGTGAATATAACAGCATCACAGTAAGTTGGGGTTAGACAAACCTGAAAGTTAGGGTTAAAGAAAACCTCAAAACATAAGTTATAATATAAAAGTTAATGTCCATCCAAGCATGAGTTAAAGGGGTATGTTTACCTCTAACCCGACGGCGTGATGGAGGATGCTCACAAGCAGGACGTGCTCCATCAGGAGTCTGTCAGGCATCAGGGACGGGGTGACGCAGGCTGCTAGTAGCACCTCTGTTAGGGTGTCATTCATGTCCTTCCTGCTGCAGCTCATGTACAGCTCCTCCAGCTGACCACTGATGGACGCCATGTTGGGCTCAGTCAGCCTGAAGAAGATAGAAAAACGACGAATTATCACTGGTAATTCTAACAGAGCTCAGAAATCAGGCGTTACTGTGACATTGACCAGTAAGAACAGACACAGCAATATCAAATGAATGTTTGCTAACTCTAGGAAACAACAGTCATAAGCTACTAGTCATACATTTTGAGAGGGAGAATGAGCTATTATGCTACGGTTACCTGTTCAGCAGGCCTTTCACGTTCCTCTTCAGTTTTTCGAGCTCAGCTTTGCGTTTCTCATCTCCAGCGCCTCTTAAGTGAGGCGGCACGTACTTTCCTGCTGCAGCGCTGACCTGGACATTGGAAGAAGTACCTTACAATTAGATCCATTACGCAGCCAACGAGACGTCGATGCTGTGACAATAATAAAGAAATAGTTCTGAACTCACAGTTTCTGAATTTAAGCCTGCTGTCGTTGTGTCACGGGTGTCTGCTTCTTCCTCTGTTTCACCATCATTTTCATTGTCCGATTCAGCTGCATCACTCTCATCCAGCTCGGCCTCCATTTCCTTCTCCTCAACCATTTCATCGTCGTCATCGTCGCCATCATCATCATCCACCTCGTTTTCCTCGTCAACTGAAGCCATATCTTCATCACTGCCTTCACTCGCAATCTCATCTCCATGTTCTCCGTCCTCATCCGACGGCTGAGAGTCGTTCTCATCAAGTTTTTCAAAGTTATCCTTGGCCTTGTCCATGTCTTCATCATCCTCATCATACAACCCCACAGCAGACGAGCCAGAGTCCAGCACACCAAGGATGTAATCGAGTCCGTCAGCCACAAAGGACTGAGGGAGAGTCTTCTTGTTTTTCCTCTTGTTTAATCCCAGTCGTTTCTCTAATTTCTTTATTTCTCTGTCCTCATCTTCATTTGCCTCCAGAAGTGCCATTTTCCTCGATTCTTGAAGCGTATTGGATTTCTTTACTTTCTTTGCTTCCTTTGCTTTCTTGGAAGATGAAGGTGTCTTAGAGCCGTCTGGTTTCTTTGTAGTAGCACTTCTGGACTGTGTTTTTAACATTTCTTTCTCCGTTTTCTCCATTTTCTTCTTTTTCTGCTGCTGCGGTTCCTCAGCTACTATTTCCGAGTTTTCACCACCATCGAGGGGTAAACTGAGGGTCGGTTTACCCTCATAATAATTTTTCATTTTGGCTTTTTTCATTTTTCGCTGTTCTTTACGTAGCTCCTTCCTACTCTTCTTTTTTACAAATCTCAAGCCATGGTCATTTTCCCCTTCTTCAGCGCCACTTTTGCTTTTAATAAACTCATCCACAGCCACCAAGTACTTGTGTAACACAACATTACCCTTCTTAGTCTTGCTCTTCTGCTTCACTTTCACCTTCATCTCTACAAATTAAACTCAAGGTACAGACGCTGACTCAACCGGCTGTTACCCTTCTTTCAGAATGCAGCTACAGACACTTAGCTGAACTACAGAGGGTTGAAAACAAACTACAGACGTAAAGCAAGTCTCGCCTACTTTAAACACATAAATACCTTGAACTGCACATGTATCTCCATGAGGAAAACTGTGTATTTGACCCACAAGCACGTGACCATTTCCTTCCAGGGCACGCCGAAGACCTGGCGCCTCGTGATGACGTACTTTATTATGGGGCGTTTGTTTTTTTTTTTTTTCAACACGGAGCGGTTTTCCTCCGACGTAAACTGTCTCTTAACCAGTCGGGGCAATATATTTGCAGAGGGAAGAAGAAGAAGAAGAAGAAGACACCGGGAGTTGTTGCCGTTGTGGTGCCAGTTGCACGCAACCTACCATGCTGTGAATCTGTAGCTTTTTTTTTGTATTTGCAATATGAAGAATGGAAGAAGACGATGTTACTATCAGAGAGCAGAATTTCCACAGCCAAGTTCGAGAGTACATCGTAAGTAACGGCTAGTGGAGGCTAGCAGGCTAACAACGTCCTCTACCGCTCAGCGAAGTCAATGGTAGCTAACGTTAGCTTCACCTGTCAGTTAGGACACGAGAGAATTTAACTGTTCATTTTGTGACGCACCCAAAACACGTCTTATTATAAGTCAAATCTGCATTACATTTTAAAAACAACGCGGTAATTAAAGTTAGCTAATGTTAGTTAGCAGTAGTAACTAGTTTATTATCAGTGTATTAACTTCACTGGTGTATTGATTGATTTTGGGACAGACTCGTTATAAATAAACCTGCAAGATCTTTATCTGGGACGTGGACACAATGTCCCAGTCCTCAGTTATACAGGCTGAGAGAGGACTGGAGGACATCTCCCTCATTCAACCTGGACGTACAATATCATGAGAGCTTGATGTAGGTTTAAGCATACCCCTCAATAGTTTAATCAATACATGCATTTCATGTTTCATCTGTTGTGATGATTTAAGGTCGAGGCCTTTGAGTTAAATGTCCTTAATTTCTGATGAGTTCCTCTGATTGGATGATTGTAACAGACTTTAGTTTGTGTTTAAGGAAAGAAGTAGTTTGCAGTGTAATATTATATGTAAGAAGATGTCTGGCGAATGTTTCACCACTGCAACTTAACTTTTGGTATCCTTAATTCCTCTGTGTGCTGGCCACCTGCAAATGCATGCGACAATAGATAATATAACTTATAAACTATTGTCATGCAATGAAACTTGCTGTTGCTCTAGACTTATAGCTTTAAACTATCAAATGTTTCACCATCAGACAAGCTGAACAGCTCAGCTTTAGCGTACACATGTTGTCCTAAGTATCTCTCTCAGTATCCCGTATCAACATTCTTATCGTAAGATGCCTTTTGCACGATGCTGTAATGGCACCGTAACGTCTTAATGTGGGTCAGCTTATGGATTGATTTCTGCACGCGTAAAATTATATTTATTGTGGCGCATGCTTATTTTGCAAGCCAAGGTTACTGTTGGTTAACTTTCGTGTTGGTAAACACATGACTCAGGGACAAGATGGTACACTCCTATTAGAACTGAAGTGTGGGAAAGTGTTTCTGACGTTGAAGAATGCACAGCAAACCGGTTCACTGTGAGAAAGTTAACACGGGATACAGTGAGACTATCTTGTGCTTCGGTCAGTAATTACATTTTCCACCACCACCTCCAAACAAGGAGGTAACATCATTATCACATGCTTGTGGAAACAGAGATGCACTGTGTTGAACAAAATGTAAAATTGTGACATCGCTGAATCTGAACAACCACTAGGAGACAATATAACGTGTGCTTACAACACACTTTTACAACATCTTGTTACTCTTCCTTTCCACGGTCTCTTCCACACACCTTTCATACACCCAGCTAATGCCATGATACATGGCCTGGTATGTAGGTTTCTTCAGCCGACCTCTGTTAATCAGGTTATCTACTATCTAATGTTGACACATCGGAAATCAGATTACTGCTAACAAAAAGTCAAATAATAACATTTACTGGAGTGCATGAAGTCATACGGATCAGTTCTTCTTGCAGGAATTGTAAGATCTTCTCTGAAAACAGTAATTACCGTCCCTCACCTCCAGCTTGAGTTCATGTAGCATAAAGGTGTGAAATACTGTTGCTAAATTGGTTGGGGATGCGTGCAAACTGTTATGACTTGCTTCTTTTCCATTGCTTAAGGTGTTACTCTGTATTTGTTCAGCAAAAACTAGAGCGATAACTTCGCTAGTGGTAGTGGCGTTGGCCGTCTTGTTACTTATTATATCTTCCCAAACTGTTGTATTGAGTCTATGCCAGTTTATCACCTCCATGCACATGATTCTGTGTTAATCTGGGGTTTCCCCTTCATGGACATGGTTTTACTTGAGCCACTGTAGCTTGTATATATCAGCTGTGTTTCATTTGGAAGGGGACTGCAGGCGATAAGCCAAACAGTTTTTCTTCCGGCCGTCGTATAACGGCGCATACCTCCGCATACCTCCGCATACCTCCCAGATTGACGGAGGATGTTGAGCGTTTCTTTTTATGTCCGTTTGTCTGTCTCAAATGCGCTCGGTCTGGCTGAGTCTCCTCCATAATCCCAGCTGGGGCGTGATGAGTTCTCCAATGTTGACAGGGTGCAAAGTGCTGAAGTGGGAGTTTCTAACATTAGTTAGGTCACTGTCACAGTAGAAGGGGGCGATGTGGAACGGGATCCTTCTGTAAGACCATCCAGCTTGTTTTGAAGGCAGAGGTTACCCAATAAATTCCATGCATTGGTACTTTCTGGACCACTTTGCATGTACTGTTGGCCTGATATGTACATCTGATGTTGGAAAACAATGATGCATTACTCCCTGTTGTTCTTTGTGATCAAATAAATGGGTCATGTTGAGCTTTACATTAGTAGTGAATGATTTCTGTAATACTGGGGAGGGCATAACTTATTTTTTCTTCTGAATTTGCACACTTCAACGGGCCTAAACCACATGTAGCGCTATTTTTGGACAGCAAACATGTATATTTACATACTACACAAATACTCTGAGTATTATTAGAACATGGGGGCAGATTGGCAGAATCGGTTGAGCACGTCTGTATGCACTCGATGTTCTGGAGCTTGCGAGACTAGAAATGAAAGCATTCCACAAACAATCTCTTAAAAACGAACCAAAAAAACTATAAACTATTGGACTGTTCCCTCAAAACTAGTTAGTTAAGTACATTGCCATGGGCTCAAGACACTTTTATAGTTTACTCTACAAAATAATCAGTTGATGAGTTGATAACTATAAGTTGCAGTGTAGCATAACAATACCATAGTCCATAATATGGGACACACAGTCACAGGAAGTGGAGAACTTATGTTTGAAATCTGCTGGGTGACCTGTCAATAACTGCTTGCTAATGACTGTGAGTGCTGACTCATCGACAGACCAAGAAAATCCTTAAACCAAGATTTCCTCTGTTGTCGTTTCAGATTTGCTTCCTCCTGTTTGCAGTCCTCTACATTGTGTCCTACTTCATCATCACTAGATACAAGAGGAAGAGCGGTAAGTGTGTCAAATATGAGCTCTCACTCCGTGGGAACAGAAATCTGTCTGATTTCACCGTCTTAAAGCATCAAACTGTAACACTTACGCGGCAGAAATGCGTCCGTGGGGGACCCATGTTCACAGTCTGGTTGTGCTGTATCTGCTCACAGACAGAGCCCTTCATTGTGTGTGTTTTGACTGAAGGGAAGTCATTTCCAAGAAGGATTTATGTGTTTGCGTGAGACACCACACCCATGCGTGTAGAGTAATCTACCACAGGGCAGCTCTTTATCAGTGTGAACTGAATCCGCCCAGAAGAGCTTTAAGGGCTGGCAAGATGAAGACAATTGATCACGAAATAATAAGTGTGACGCAGCAGGTTAGTGACAAAAGCAACAATGGCGACTCAAGGGACCTCTAACGGAAGGATATGTTTTCTTCCTCTGTAACATCTGTGACACGTTTGAGCTACAACAGGGAGGAATGGACTGGAAATACAAAATGAGACCTAGTTATGAAGGAGAAAACATTATGACCTGTATCCTGTTTTCCCAGGACACATTTCATATGTCCAGGTCACCGAGGCTTCCCTTGTCTCATTTGGAAAGTAGACCACTTTGCACCAGAAATCCCTTCTGGAGTTGTGTACAGTAGAAATCTAGGCTGCTCTTCTCCTGACACCAGCGGGTTTGGAGCCTCATCCTTTGTAAAATATAAAGCGGCATTACATGCACTACTTTCTCATCTACTGTCTCACATATTGAGATGATTATGAGATCATTCTCTTTTTTAGCACACTATGTCTACCAAGGGTGCAGTTGATAACTAGACTGATGATGGGAGGGGACCAGTTAGCTGTTTCTGCTATGAAATTTAAACATTTCACAATTTCTATTTAGTTTTAGTAAAAAATGTTTTCAAGGAATAGGAGCACTTCCACATAACTGTCTGATGGTTTACATTGTTTTGGAAACAATCACAGATGCATGGAGAGAAATAACATTAAAGGTCCTTTAAGTTAGGCATGTTTCAAATACCTAGGCTGTTTTGAACTAACACTACACTAATGCATGTTGGTATCGGCCGATAGGGAAGGGGAAATATCATATGTTTAACTCTGCTTCAACAGATACACGCTGTGTTCTTCTTAGTACTGTTTGATGTAAGATGTGATGTATGAAGTGTACAACTGATACAGCTCAAAAGTGTTGTGACTGAAGTGTTTTGGTTTCCTTCATAGACGACCACGAGGATGAAGATGCTGTTGTCAATAGAATATCGTGAGTAAACCGGAGTTCATTATTTGAGAACAATGTATTTTAGAAATGGTGGCGACTAGCTTTCAACTATATATTTATTTTAGGAATTATAAATCATATCTCAAGAAAGCAAATCTGTTTAGAAAGTTAGTCCGCTATTTGAGTAAAGAAATATTTGAATTCAATGTTGCTAATTTGAGCTGAAACAATGAATTGATTCCGAGATTAACAGAAGCTAAATCTGCACATGCTTTCATTATGGAGTCATTATTTACGTCTTGTTTTCTAGCAACGATAGTGAAGCTTTTCTCTACTTTATATCCCAGCGAGGTCAATATCTTGTGATTTAAAAAAAAAAAAAAAAAAAAAGGCATTTGAAGACGAGTTGTGACGAGCGTTTTTTACCAAACAACCAAAAAAATGAATCGAATAATCAGATATTAATCAATACTGAAAATAACCATTAACAGAAATTGAAAAAGCATTGCATTAATTCACCGACTACCTCAAAACCTCAGTACAGTTGATGTCATTAGCCAGAGCTGTGGTGCCAAGTATCGCATATCGCTCGGTTTAGAGTAGCAGCTGACGTCACACCCGAGGGTGCCTGTTGTAGCCACAAACATCCTGCATGTTTGGTTCCAGCGACGCAAAGTAGCACCTAAGGGTCCAGCTAAACGATGGAAAGCATTTCAGTTAATGAGCTCTTTTGGTGATATAGGGAAGTGGGGAGACTGTGAGCTGCCCAACTGAGGACCACTGAGCAGATGGTCACTCCCCTGAGACCTGCAGCCTCTGAACCTCTAGAAAACGCAGGCTGCAGAAACATAGCTACTATAATCTATAAAGATATTACCATGTTGTGAGTCTACTTGTGTTTTTTATCTTGTATAGTCCTAACACTTGTGCGTGTGTTTCTGTGTGTTTGTGTTTGATTCCATTCACAGATTGTACTTGTGCACCTTCACCCTGGCAGTGTCGGGTGGTGCCGTCTTCCTGCTGCCTTTCTCGATTATCAGTAACGAGATCCTCCTCTCGTTCCCCAAAAACTATTACATTCAGTGGCTCAATGGCTCCCTCATCCACGGTCAGTAGATCTCATGCCATGTTTAATTAGACTAACTAGTTTTCTCTCCCTTTCTTGCTCCTATAATATTCTATCTTCTAACATATTTGGAATAACATTGATTTGAATCATGATGATCTTTTTTACATTAATGTCAGAATCAATGGAAGTGTTGATTAGCATGATGTGCTCATCTTACATGTGTAACCATGTGTAAGCCAGTTTCCAACCATGTGAGATTTAAAAGTGATGCCATGTCCCCACATATCCGATCAATTGACATCTTTATGTCCCATTGTTAACCCGTCTATAAGGCTGTTGGGTGCTGCAACAGCCACCAGGGGGCATTAGAGTCCATGACTTAGACACAAAGAGGCTGACCAGATAAAACCTGTGTTGGCACCTCTCCTCACAACTACTAATATTCAAGGGAAAGCTCCCAAAATGATGACAAAAACCTGTTCATGTAACCTAACCGAGCCTGAAACAGTCATACGTACATCATTTGTGAATTACCTGTATGTGTACACTGTCATGTGTTTGGTTTCTGCAGGTCTGTGGAACCTGGTGTCACTGTTCTCCAACCTCTGCCTCTTCGTCCTGATGCCCTTTGCCTATTTCTTCCTGGAGTCTGAGGGATTCGCGGGATCTAAAAAGGTACATTGCCTTAAGTTTGCTGCAGAATTCCTCTGCATCGTTTTGATTTTTGTTTATTGTCTTTGTGTGTCACGCAAGATCATCAAAAAAAACTTGGAAATGGTAAATGTGTTCAACACTTTGCTGAGCTTCCAAAGTCTGGAACTAGCTTTAAAAAATCCTGAGAAATAATTATCAAAAGATTCTGCGACATTGTAGCTGAAGTGATTAATTGAAAACAAGACAATCTGCAACGATTTAAAAACTAAGCCTCGTAAGAAAAATGTGAAACTTTGATTATGAAAACGTGGAACCCTGTTGGTTTATTTCTATGCTCTGCTGCATGCAGCGGGCTCTCTCTTAACAGCCAGAGAGCAGCAGCAGCAGCAGCAGCAGCAGCAGGTGCCTTGTGCCCTCTCCCTGACTCACGCCACTGACTGTAACTGCCACCGCAGAAAGTTCATTAACCACGAAAGTCTGAATCTGGACTTCGCCCAGCGCCACATCCTGACAAACCCTCCCAATGAGGCCATCGGCTGCAAACGCTTCAACACTGCTGCATCGGCCCCGCTGATTTAAAGCCTGATTCCTTGTCACACCCCCCCTCCCCAGCCCCCCCCCAAAATAAAACTTCAAAAGGACAGGCTAATAATCGAGTTGTAAGGCGCAGCGAACTTCCTCGTTTAATTGATTACCCCCCCCAACAGAAAAAAGAGGCTGGGAGTTCGTGTTCCAAAAGTCCATAAAGTGGCAGCAACATGACGGCACAATAGAACCTTTACTTTTAATACACCTCTATCCTGTGTCACAGTTTGAAACCTCTCTGGTTTATGTCCCTCCTGGCAAAAGCACATAAAAATTAGTCTGTACTGTAGTGTATCGCTAGCTCTTTTCCTCCTCGGCCCACTAATTTGTTTCGGTTGGATTTCTTGAGTGGACGGCGGGACCCGATGTGTAGGAAGCAGGACGAGGGCCTCTTTCACGTTTTTGTTCTTTTTCATTTCAGCAAGACTGTTTCTTGCTACTGATCTTCCATAAATGTGCTCTGAGGAAGCACTGTTCAATGTTGAGCTGCACTTCCACGTATATGTTGTGTGTGTGTGTGTGTGTGTGTGTTATGGAAGGGGTGGAGGTGACACTTACAAAAAAACAAAAAACTGAACTGCCCGCAGAGTCAATCAGGGCTGAGTTTTTATAATGCGATATTATCCCTTTCTCCAATAACAGCATTAGACCACATTGTCATAAGGTTTTATGTGGTATTTTAACCTCCTGGGCCGATGTCATGGCACTGCGAGGTCCTTTTGACTGCGGAAATGAAGTGAATGATGAATTTCACTACCAACGTGGTAAGTCGGTCTTTTCATGTGGCTTTGTTTACTTTTGACGATGTACTAAAAGACGCCACCAGAATAAAAATGGAAATGTGGATGTTTCTTCTTTTTTTTTTTTGTTTTACTGTTCAGCTCTTTAGAGGCTCTGTCATCTGAGAGATTAATAGTTTCACAAATTGTCCAAATTGTGGATGAATCAGAGCGACTTAGGGTCTTGATGTCGGATGTTATGATCTCGCTTTATTTGCTGCTGTAAAATGTCTCCCGCTTTACTGCTGAAGAGCTGCATCACCGAGGCCACAAAAGGTCCTCGTGTACTTCATGTTCATTGGTTCTGATGATGCGTTAGAAACTGATATATAGCATGCTGTATTTGTAGTAGTATTCTGAGGTAGTGTGCATTGTGCATTGTGTGCATTGTTCAGGCTTAATAAAGCATTTCTGTCTCTGCACCACCAGTAGATGGCATTGTAATGATGATAGCCACCGCTGTCATCCATATTGAGATAATCAGCGTGTTCTGACAAAGACTGTGAAGACATCAGCACCAGCCTTTGTTCTATTTATATCAAGAGACTTAAGCTGGCTCAGTAATTACACACGGCGAGTGTGATATCTCGGAGCTATATTTACTCAAAAACAATTAGATCAAGGTATTAAAAAAAGTTCTGACAATGACAACTTGCTGGTCTATTTCCAGTGCGGTCTCATCTTATTTTCTTCGCACTAATGCTTAAAAAAAAAAAAAAAATGTATTCAGCACCACAGCCTGAGCCACTTATTGTAACTTTATGAGGAAGGTTTTATTTTATTTATTTAAGAGACATAGAGTATGCTTTGCAGTGAAGTCTTTTTTTTTTTTTTTTACCCTAAGTATTGAAATGTGTTTGATCCTGAAACGAGTTGGAACGAGTCTGACCCCCTGACTGACCCAGCAAAGGGCCAACAGGTTTCATCTGGTAGTTAAAGAAACTCCTCATCAATCTCATCCTAAGCCCCAACCCGCCAATGATGAGAAGTGTGTTTATTGTGGAGGGAGAGGAGGAGAGGGGGAGAGGGGGGAGAAAACGTCTCGCCGAGCAAACCCGCGTGGTGTTACTAAGATACTCCTCTTTGTTGGCGCTCCACAATGGGGGCTTGGATATTTATTTCAAATCTCCTGCACATGCAGACATTTTTCCCAGGCCTTCTCTCGGGCAGGGCCAGTCGGAGAATATAAAGTGGTGTTTACATACCTTCCTTTAAGGTCACAATGTCTCCCTAAAGCTGCCTGTTACAATGTTCGTTACCGCGGCAACATATTAGTTCGAGCTGGGAATTAAAAAAAAAAAAAAAAAGAACAAGCAAGTTGCTCAGGATCCCCCCCCCCCTTCCTCTCGTGACTCAGTTTTTCTATGTGATATGTTTCTGAAGCTCAACTGATTCTGCTCCGGATTCTTTTGCCGTTTTCCTGGATTTTAAAGCGAGATATCATCCATCGTACATGGAGACTGAATTACTACTCTTTTACGTGACTTTAAGTATAATGTTGATCGGCGATGAGGTCTGTTTGGTCCTAACCTTTTACCTGAAGAAAAAGCCAGGGTACAGTCGTTTATTCTTTGAAGACTTATCAGTCTGACACCTTTCAGTAACACTGTAGCATGTCAAATACAACCTGTACTTCTTGTTTTCTGACTCATCAGCAGCAGGGAAACAGGAGCTTTAATTCACATCCCCAAAATCATGAACATTCACAACAATGTTTTCTTTCTCTTTTTAAAAAAAAAAAATTCCCCTCCCGCCGCTGGTTTGAACGATACGACGTGATGCCGATCATTTTCCATGCTCGCGTGTCATTGCTGCTTTATTAAGAAGTCTTATTAAGAGTCTTTAGAAGTCCGTTGTGCAGCTTTACAGGCGAGTGCTTTCTGTCTTTGACACGGTCATTGCACCGTGGCCGACTGGTTGAAGGATACACTAATAAGGTCCCTGGGCATCTGGCATGTCTTTAGCAGGCAGGGCAGTCCTTTTGCTGGGGAGCAAAAAAAAAAAA